GTCCTGGAAACCTTACGATCGGAGAAGCTATATGCGAAGTTCTCTAAGTGCGAATTTTGGATCCGAAGAGTCGAATTCTTAGGACACGTGGTTAGCGAAGAGGGAATCCACGTGGACCCATCCAAAATTAAGGCTATTGAGAACTGGTCAGCACCGAAGACGCCTACGGAAATTCGTCAATTTCTAGGCCTCGCTGGCTACTACCGCAGGTTCATTCAAAACTTCTCTCGAATCGCGAAACCCCTACTACATTGACCCAGAAAGGCGTGGCCTTTGACTGGGAAGAGAAACAAGAGAAGGCATTCCAAACCCTGAAGCGAGCCTTATGCACCGCACCGATACTGTCCCTCCCCGAAGGGATAGAAGACTTCGTGGTATACTGCGATGCATCCAACCAAGGGCTCGGCTGTGTTCTGATGCAACGAGGTAAGGTCATCGCCTACGCCTCAAGACAGCTGAAGACACACGAGGTCAACTACACACACACACGACCTCGAATTAGGAGCGGTTGTGTTCGCCCTAAAAATCTGGAGACACTATCTGTATGGTACGAAGAGCACCATCTATACCGACCACAAAAGCCTCCAACACATCTTCAACCAGAAAGAGCTCAACATGAGACAACGACGGTGGGTCGAGCTACTCAATGACTACGAATGCGAAATTCGTTATCATCCGGGTAAAGCCAACGTAGTAGCAGACGCCCTAAGTCGGAAAGAATATTCTGGCCGAAGAGTCAAGTCACTAACAATGACTATCCATTCGCATCTATCCGCACAAATTAAGGAGGCTCAGCTCGAAGCTTTGAAACCTGAAAATGTAGCGGGAGAATCCCTGCGAGGAATGGATAAGAACCTGGAAGCCAAGGGTGACGGAGCCTTATATCTCATGGACCGGATCTGGACACCGAAGCACGGTGGCTTCAGAGACTTGGTCATGAAGGAAGCGCACAATACTCGATATTCCGTCCACCCAGGTTCAGATAAGATGTATCTGGATCTCAAGAAGTCATACTGGTGGCCTAACATGAAAGCAGAGATTGCTACCTTCGTAAGTAAATGCCTTACTTGCGCGAAGGTCAAGGTCGAATACCAGAAACCGTCAGGTCTACTCCAACAACCGGAGATACCTGAGTGGAAGTGGGAGCGGATCACTATGGACTTCATAACCAAGTTACCCAAGACAACGGGTGGACTTGATACCATATGGGTCATCGTCGACAGATTGACCAAGTCCGCACACTTCCTACCCATCAAAGAAACCGACAAGATGGAGAAGCTCACAAGAACATACATTAGGGAGATCGTACGTATATCTATTATCTCAGATAGAGATAGTAGATTCACTTCGAGGTTCTGGCAGTCATTACAAAGCTCCTTAGGAACGAGGCTGGACATGAGTACAACCTACCATCCACAGACCGACGGACAAAGTGAGAGAACTATCCAAACTTTGGAAGATATGCTGCGAGCCTGTGTGATCGACTTTGGTAAGGCGTGGGATACCCACTTACCCTTGTTGAATTCTCATACAACAACAGTTATCACACGAGCATCAAGGCTGCTCCATTTGAAGCCCTCTATGGCCGAAAGTGCAGATCCCCTCTGTGCTGGGCTGAGGTGGGTGACACTCAATTAGCTAAAGGACGAGTTCCTGACAGCACTCTCACGGGTCCGGAGATCATTCGGGAAACGACAGAGAAGATCGTTCAGATTCGTGAACGATTGAAAGCCTCTAGAGACCGACAGAAAAGCTACGCAGACAAACGAAGGAAACCTTTGGAGTTCCAGGTGGGAGACCGAGTCCTTTTGAAAGTCTCACCCTGGGAAGGCTTGATACGCTTCGGAAAGCGTGGAAAGCTGAATCCAAGATACATAGGGCCTTTCGAAATTCTCGCTAGAATCGGCCCCGTAGCTTACAAACTCAATCTACCCGCGAACTCAGTAACGTACATCCTACCTTCCACGTCTCGAACTTGAAAAAGTGCCTATCCGACGAGACTCTTGTAATCCCACTCGACGAGATCGAGATCAACGAGAGCCTCAACTTCGTGGAAGAACCTGTAGAGATTATGGACCGAGAGGTCAAACGAACGAAACAAAGCCGTATCCCGATAGTGAAGGTTCGCTGGAACGCCAAGCGAGGACCTGAATTCACATGGGAGCGCGAGGATCAAATGAAATTTAAATATCCTCATCTTTTTACTTAGTTATTTTGTAATAACTTAGTTGCTTGAACTCTAATTTCGGGACGAAATTCCCTCTAACGGGGGGATGATGTGACAACCCGAAATTTTCATTTGTATAATCTCTACAGTCAAACACTTCAATAATAGTCAAATACATTTCAGTACATTTTTGGCCGGGTTTAAGTCCGTTTGCGTGTTTAATTTTAAAAATCGTCGAACGAATAAATAAAAGGAAGTGTCGTTATAAGTGATGTGTAGCAAACAAACAAACAACACCTTAGCTAGGTGTTTACGGCCAAACAAGAGAAGTTTGGGCCGTAAACACCATTTTCCAAGAACTCATGCATATAGCATGAGTTTACCCACTATTCCCTCACTTTTACACTTCCAACCTCAAGAACACCCAAGTTTTTCTCTCAACTATCATAGGATCATTTCTTCAAATCCGCCAAAATGTAAGTGTTTCCTTCCTAGATTCGTTCATACAACACTTAATCTAGTGTTTATACATCATTTCATCCATGGATTCTTGATTTTTACTTAGATCTTCAAGTGTTCTTCAAAACACCAAGAACACCAAGAACACACACTAGTGTTCTTGGGCCCTAAACACTCTTACAAGCTTCATATAAGTAAGTATACTCCCCCTATCTAGTTATTTGCTTAGTATACTTGCTAATCCATGGAATGAACATCAAAATCCCCAAGAACATATGTGTTTACGGTCAAGGGATATCCTTGAACCGTAAACACCACCAAGTGGTGTTAGATGCCCCTAACACCTTCTATAGCTTGGATAAAGACTAGAACCTTGCATGCATGAACTAGAAACACCAAAACACGAAATGGTTGGAGTAACCATGAGTTTACGGCCGTAAACTCATGGGTTTACGACCGTAAACCCAAGTGTTTACGACCGTAAACTCTCAAGGGTGGTCCAAGGACCGTAAACTCCAAAAGTGAGCCATTTCGAGCCCTAATCACTTCCCAAGCCTTTGATGCAAACCTAGAACACTTCTTTGTGAGGTATAAGACCTTAAAACACACAAATGCACCATTACCATGAGTTTACGGCCGTAAACTCATGGGGGAAATGGTCCAGAAACCGTAAACACATATAGGGTTACCATTTGAGGAGTAAACTCCAATGTGAGGCCATACTCTCCTTAGATACAACCCTTAGCACTCCTAGCACTTGAAACTAAGTGTTTCCATGTATTAGAGTGTCTTTACTTGATTATTTAGTTATTAAATAACTAATTAGATACATTTATGTATCGCTACATGTTACATAGGATCAGTGTGTGTGTTCAAGTCCTCACTTGACACCTAGCATCCTACCCGACACTTCCATCCACTCCACTCACTGCAGGTGAGTTCATACCCCTAAATCAACCTTTTAAATGATTTTAAATGCTTTTATGGGGGGGATACAAGTTGAACTGTTATAGTTATTGTATCAATCACATGTGATTAATAACTAGAACAGACTACAAGATTTGCTACTGCTTTCAAATTACCATCAAACTTTGGATTTTCAAGTGTTTCAAACCTTTTATCAAACTCTTTAAATGCCAAAACTGTTTTCAAACTCTTTTAAACTTGCTTTATTTTCAAACCCATATCTATACTAATATATTTATATAAGTAAGACTTGAAGGACTTAGGACTGATAGCTCACCTTATTTCCTGTTCCTTGTTTGGTTGTGGACTTAGGGTATTCTGTTATTTGTCCGATTGTCGTTGGATTCTTAGTTATATATCATATATATTTGTGTTGGATATAAAAGTCTTCACTTCAGTTCAATACCTTTGTGTATCAAAGGCATGCAACCAACATTACTATTTAACAATAATAGGTATAGTTAAGGATTACTACTCATGACTACTATTACAATGACACCTACCAGAGTCAGTACAGTTATGAGTCAATACATGCTAAATAATATACAAAGAGAATACTATATACTATACAAGAGAACACTTTATATATTATACCAGAAAATACATTATACAATATACAAGAGAATATACTATAATTAGAATGTGACATACTACTTCTCGATACGACACTTCACAGTGGTATCACCGTGTAACCAGAGTCTCCTGGAGGGAGAGCGGGCATTGTGTGTATAGATCTATACGGGACAGACACTCCCACATCCCGACTGCTAGCTACAGTCCCAGCCGAAAGGCCAAGGGGTGACAAAATGTCACATCACTACATATGACTCGGAGGGTCATCAGTTATTCGATCGTCAATCAGCATGGTTACATACGAGTTCACATTCAAACCTTTAATTACACATTAATAATTAAAGGCCAAATAGGCTCCCCGATGTGTATTGTACATTTAATACTACTTGGAGTCTGCATTTTATTTCATTTAGCCGGCAGTGCCACTGCTGGGGTAAAACTAGGGATGCAAACGGGTCGGGGATTCCCCGCTACCCGTGGGGACCCGACCCGAACGGATCGGGGATTCTCCGCCTTAGCGGTTAACGGATCGGGGATGGGGATTAGATATCTTACCCGAAGGGGGGATGGGGCGGGGACGGACATAGTATTATCCCCCCCGTTTAAAACCCGATAATATATATATATTATATATATATATATATATAATATATATATATATAGCTATATATATATATATATATATATTAGTTGTAATTAAAGTTTTTCAGAGATACCAATACCTATTTTCCCACGATTACTCTTCGAGTGGATGATCTTCACCGTTTTTATATTTAATATTTTGTTTTTGTAAAAGTAATTAATAAACTTTTTCAAAGACTTCCACCGTTTTCATCTTTTCGAGAGTAGCAATCGACTCTTCGTTCTTCTCTCACGTCTCAGTTCTCACGCTTCACCAAGACATTAATGTCTTTAATCTTCAAGAACAAAACCCAATATTTACTCATCGATTATTTATTTCTCCATAAACCCTAGATATCGACACAGTAGTATCAAGATTCAGGAGTAAATTTCAATGGATGATCTTCCTTTTCCACCACAAAATCCCAACCCGAGGTAAGTTTGTTTCATCGATTGACTTGAACTTTCACCTGCTTATTGTTTTTATGTAGTCGATTACTCAATCTCTAATTAGTGATAATCGATTCTCTATACTATGTAATTGATTCTCATGTACAATTCTTTCATGTATTTTAGTCGTGTATGGATTTTTATGCATGTAATATGTATGATTTTGGTTGAAATCTGATTTCTCATATACAATTTTTTTTCATTTATTTTAATCGAGATCTGATTGTCTTGTTGAACTTTAGGGATATACTCAAGATTAATCATTAAAACCTGCAATCGGTAGAAACCCAAATGGTATAACCAAAATGGCTTAATTTCTAAGAAGAAATCTGTATAATCAATAATCATATGAATTCTCAAGGTCTGAACATTTGTATAATCGATAATTATCATATTTTTGTGTAATTCATTCTTAATGTTCGTAGAATCATGTTTGCCTGAATCAATTAATTTGAATAACATGAAATTTGGCTGCATGTTATACAATAGAATATCATCTAATTTTGAATGGTATAATTTCTGCCTAATTCTTTTTGTATAACTGAATATCATCTTATTTTTAACTATATAACTGAATTTCCGTCTTTGTAATTCTTATTCTATGTAATTGATTCTCATGTACAATTCTTTCATGTATTTTAGTCGTGTATGGATTTTTATGCATGTAATATGTATGATTTTGGTTGAAATCTGATTTCTCATATACAATTTTTTTTCATTTATTTTAATCGAGATCTGATTGTCTTGTTGAACTTTAGGGATATACTCAAGATTAATAATTAAAACCTGCAATCGGTAGAAACCCAAATGGTATAACCAAAATGGCTTAATTTCTAAGAAGGAAATCTTATAATCAATAATCATATGAATTCTCAAGTCTGAACATTTGTATAAATCGATAATTATCATATTTTTGTGTAATTCATTCTTAATGTTCGTAGAATCATGTTTGCCTGAATCAATTAATTTGAATAACATGAAATTTGGCTGCATGTTATACAATAGAATATCATCTAATTTTGAATGGTATAATTTCTGCCTAATTCTTTTTGTATAACTGAATATCATCTTATTTTTAACTATATAACTGAATTTTCGTCTTTGTAATTCTTATTCTGTGTAATGATTTATTGTAGTGACACTCAAGATCAACAACCCTCACAATCAAATAGAAGATTGGTTTATGGAGTTTGGTGTCATTTTAAAATGCAAAAGACTGATGGAGTTGATAAGGCAATATGCAATTATTGTGGGAAAATCATTATAACTGAATTTCCGTCTTTGTAATTCTTATTCTGTGTAATGATTTATTGTAGTGACACTCAAGATCAACAACCCTCACAATCAAACAGAAGATTGGTTTATGGAGTTTGGTGTCATTTTAAAATGCAAAAGACTGATGGAGTTGATAAGGCAATATGCAATTATTGTGGGAAAAAATTAAATGGAAAAAGCAAGAATGGAACTGCACACTTGCATGATCATTACAAGCTTTGTGGATCCAAGTATTCTAGATTTTGATATTTACCAGTGGAAGTTATAATTATTGTTTTTGTTAGTTTCTTCACAAACGTGAAAATGTCATGCTTTTTTGTACTTTGTCGTCTATGAGAATGAAGGATGATCATTTCAACATTTTATTTGTCATGATTATTTTTTATGTTTTTTTATTTTCTTTAGATTTACAAAAAACAAATGATTTTCTTACAAAACGGGTATCCATCGGGTTCCCCATATCCGGAGGGGATTTTTTCACCCGAATCCGTTGGGGATTTGGCGGGGATGGGTATGGAGATTAGAGGTCGGGTATGGGGACGGGGATTGTAGTCTCCGCTAATATCCGCCCCCGTTTACATCCCTAGGTAAAACCTTATTTTCCCAATTACTTTACATGAATAAAGTCTAAAACTACATTTTCTTACTGATAGTTTCACTGGGGAAAACTTTTACATTTTCAAAGGATCAAACATGCAAACAAACGGGTCTTGGTAGAAGACTACTTTTACTGGAAAATATAGGATTTTCTAGGGAGTATACTATTGTCAAACATTAATATCAGCTATTATACTACATTGTTGTAAACATTTGTATACAAGCAATGACATTAAATACTTATGAACTCACCAGCTTTATGCTGATAAACTCTTTCAAAATAACTTTTATTCTCAGGTCATCAGTAGACAGGTACAGATGAAGCTTTTGAGAAGATGGAGCACACACACGACTCATCTTTTATTTTGATTATACTTTTGGTGTCTTACAAACTGTACAGAACACGCTTGTATTACAATTATTATATTAATGCAATGGATGTTGTTGCTTGTCTTTACTATTATGCATTGTTATGATACTGTACATGACGTCCTCCACCCCAGAACGTATTCCGCCGTTCCGGTTTTGGGGTGTGACCATTAAACAGGTTAACTATGTGGTCATTTACTCTCTTCTTACGTCTAAAAATGGAGAGGAGCATTAAATAGGTTGGATATGTTAACAAGGGTTAAATGGTCATTTTACCAAAAATGAGTCTTTTTTCATACTTTATAGAGCACTTATCCAGCCACCATGTTTGATTACTATCAATTCAGTGCAAAAAAAATATTGAGCACAATAAATAGGTTGAGTATGTTACGTCATTTACTCTTGTTTATACAATCCAAAAAGGGAACATAAATAGGTTAAATATGTTGAAGAGGTTAAAATGGTCATTTACTGTTGTAAAATGAAAAGAAACTAAATAAATACCTTCCCAGTTGAATTACGGTCATTTCTCTGCCATTTCCATAATTTATGGACAACATTTGCTGCTAGAGCTAAGACTGTAACTCCTGAATTAGTGTAAATCAATATTGTAACCTACAAATGCACACACAGAAAGTGAAAATGGATGGAGGAAGTCACTTGACTTTAAAAAAATTCACTGAAACAGCAACCTACTTCTATTCATTTCTTTACTTTAAAAAATCTACCCAATTATAACAGCAATATCACCCAAATACAAACCCGTTTTCACTACTATGAATGGATAGATTTTGCAAAGTAAAATGTCCTCTTAAGAAAATAACTGCAAGTATAATGCCTTACTTTTAAAGTACAATGATATAACAAAACAAATGAAAGTAGTAGGATGTTATAATAATTTACAAATAAATGAAACTAGGTTGCTAACAATACCCGCATTGCAGAAGATGTATCATCTGGAAGCCTTGAGGATCGACACTGTGATGGTTTAGATATTTTTGTCCACCGGGTGCATTAGCAGCACCAAATGTTGGCATCATTGCAGTCAGTCCCTGTAAGAGTATGGCATTGTAAAACCAAGGGCAAAAGAGGAAAAGAGTAGAATTTGAATTAGAATCTTTTTTTACCTTCATGGAAGATACAGATACGACTCTGGAGGCATCGAAAGAACGATTCTCCATTGTTCTTAGTAACCTAACCCCATCTTGACCACACCCTCATCACCAGCTGCAATAAAGCGGTTTTTTCCTATGGCAGTTTCTTTTATTATTAAATATCATCGAGCCCCTGAAATGTACATGTGCGGTAAGGTTAAATGTTTATTTTTTGAACAATAAGGACTAGATGTCATTTCTTTTTGTAAGAATTGTAAAAAGAAAATCCTAATAGACCCAAAACGTCAACATGGCAGAACAATACCAGTTTGGTTTGGAAATTTGTCAAATCACGCTTGCAAATTTGAAAAAAATTGCCACTCAAACTAGCCAAATCGAAGCCCTACAACATGATAGAAAAAGAAGTTTTTCAATGTGGACAAAACAAAAAAATGAAGTTCAAAAGAACCAAATGAGATTTACAACTGAAAACAGCTTTATCAAGGTTACTATCCATATTTAATGTTGTTATTAAGGTTAGTGTCATAAAAATCATTAGTTTTAAATTAAGTTATCATCTTATTTTTACATGATATGTCTATATGCAGGTAGAGGTGACATAGAGTTTGGTGATATCGATTCTCAATATGTACAAATTGCTTAAAATCATATTAAGCCAAATCATGTATTAAATTTCTCATTTTTACTACATTTTCCTACTTTTTGTTGTAAATGGGTTGCGGTTTTGGCCCAGACCAAATCATGTGCTATTAATGCATATCTATTTGTAATGCTTCCTTATTTCTTTTAATCTTTATTGAATAGATAGAAGCTAACCTCATCATTGTAGGTAATGATAGATGATGCAATATATCTTCTTTTAATGGATTTTCACATTATGTATGTTTCAAGATAATTTTGCTAGAATCAATAACTACTAGAAGTATTGTGTTAAATAGTTGGATAAACTACTAACCGAAATAGTAGAAATCAAGCTGTTGCCTCAACTCCATTGCTAACTGGTACTGCAGTTGCAGTTTCCATTTTACCAGTTGCTTCTTCTTCTTCATTCTTCATCTCTATCTCTTCTTTTGTATCACTATCATCTTCATCTTCATCAAAATCTCCACCACTCTGAAAAGTATGCAGCAAGTGGTGTATCCACATGTACTGGTCTATAGAGCTCATGCATATTCTGAGAAACTGCCAGGATGGCAATACTTAAGAAAAATAAAAAATAAAAATATTACAATAAGAAAAAAAATCAAGAAAATGAGTTTTGAGGGTAGGTTACCTATCAAACAGCCCCAAAGGGTGAAATTTCTCCAATATTTCTTGAACATCTCTCTTATGTAGAGTTTCAGTAACAATCAGGACATCATTGTCAATCGTGTGACCATATCTGAGGAGAAACAGAAAGATTAAGTCCCAAACAAAGATGAATATGCAAGAATGGTTGTAACATGTGGATTACAATAAACCATCAATAAGAGTAGTTGAGGACTTGAGGTATGTTACTTTTAATCATTATTATTATTATATCAAAAAGAGGGAAATTTTATCAAATGTACACATGTAATGAGATAAGCACCATCTACAGAAAACACCCAATCCCATACCCATCGTTGCTGCCCTGAGACACACATATCATATTATTATATTATATTAATTAAAAAAAGCATGCAACATTTGTTTAAGACATGTAAGTATGTATATAGTAATGTAAAATTGGTCATTATCTGCAGTAAATAACACAGATCATAAGATCAGATTAAGTAAAAAAGAAACAATATTAGATGAAAAAAAAAGAATAAATAGTGAATTTTACCTGTGTCACACGTAAGAGCCTCCAGACATAACAAGTTCCTTTGTTGTTTGCAGCAACTACCAAGCTTCCATCCCACATCACTGTCAATGATCTCATTGATGTATCAACCTCTGGCACCTGGGTTTAGTTAAAACTTTAAACCCATACAACTTAATCAATGTATATATGCTGAAAATTAAAATTAAAATCATACCAGCTCACAGCTACAAGAGTTTGCAGTCAAGTCCCATACATGGATATTCCTATTTTGATCACCAGATATGAGCTCATCCTGGACACCCAAAAACAAACCAATAAACCAAATTATATATATCTGATGGTTTCATGTAGGTAAAAAAATTATGGAAGAGTCCTTAAACATTCTTGTTTAAGGATTTGTTTCTTCAACCTGAGTCAAAACTCATTATAATATTAGTTTTCTGATTATTTAGGGTCAAAATAGTTAGATTTGTAGAAGCAATTTAGAGTTCTTGCAAGAAAACTGATTGTGGATATACATGTAAATTTCCTTAACTATCCTTAGCACTTACCACAATAGCAAATACAAGATTCTTAAGAAATCTCCCAAGATGATATAGTAATCTTCTAGTGTAACATGGTTGCCATCTTCTACTTTTGTAGAAAACCCAATCTACCATCAATTTCATTTTTTAAAAGCATTTTTTTACAAATCAGATGCAAAAATAAACTAATAAGTTCAACATAAAAGGAGTTAAATTTAGAAAAATACTAAGATCAATTTTGATCTTGCACGGCTGTGAAAAATCAAATCATGAAATTCAATTATTCAACTGATGTGACACCAATTTTTTTTTTTTTTTTTTTTTTTTTGCAAAAATTTTAAACTTTTAAAACTCATTTTAAATTAAATCAAACAACTGAAAAAGTCATAACATAATCCATCAAACTTAACAATCATATAAAATAAGTGCGGAAGAAATAACAATAATAAGGTCCCAACAAAAATAACTAGTAGCGATGTCCCGGTGCTCCATGTCAAGCCTTAGCCTCTTTAATCTTAACACCTGAAAAGTTATAAGGGAAACCGTAAGCACAAAGCTTAGTGAATTCAAACACAGACATTGTACTAACATTCATATTTACTAACCCTAATCCATTTTCCAATTATAGTTGTATAATAAGGGCAAAGAACGAATCAACGCCAATAATACAAGAAGGACTTGTAGGTTTGAACCGCACCGGGAAGATCCCGTATCACTTGGCCCTAATCACCGCACCTCATGATGAGTATTACGTTGGTGATCTTACCTACCCACCGCACCGGTAAATCCGTATCCTTTGGTGGTGTCCCCATATCCATGATTAGTTACATACAGTGCACATGTACAAATTAAAACAATACTTATATAGCATGCTTTTATAATAAATTCAAATAATCACACACGAGCTAACTAGCAAACACAATCATCAATACAACGGTGTGAGAGAACTCACCTTGGGTGAATAGTAAGGATAGCTAACAATCAAATAATGCTACCAAGCTTGAGCAAACTTCAAAACCTCACCTAAGAAGGACTAAAGGTTAGAAAGGAGAAGTAATGAAGCTATGAGTTGAGAAAAGAGTAATCACAGCAAGGTCTCTAAAACAGACCTGCTGTTCAAAACGGATTTACTCCAGAATCTAAAACATAAACATAGCTTTAACTAAATTTTATAGGAAACTATGATTACTCAGGATTCTAGAACTATAAAGAACTCCTTCTAACTCCAAAAGATGAATTAAATATGAATTTTACAAAATGATGTATCACTTCTGTCTCCAACAATACAGTCAAGTGATGTTGGCCAATTCTACCCAACTTGTGAGTAGAATTCGTCCAAACCAAAATTCATAGAAGTAAAGGACATACAAATGAAAGTCTCAGAGTTGGAATTGAATGAAAAGCATCTCTCAAACTCCAGATATAAAATTCATATTGTGGACAATCACAACACTAGCAAAAGCTGGTGACTGCCCACTGATCTGGAGTGTGGATCCATTCTAACCAATGTATAATTGGAAATAACACCCCATCTGCTCCAGATCTTAAATTCATAATATCAGGAACATATAGAAACTTGGAATCACTCTGGATCCTTTTCCAAGCCTTAGAAATGATGAAAACAAAATGACATATCAGAACAGACCCGGATCAGACCTAACAACAAAGATGTCATTCTTTCCCATAGATAAAGTCCTTATCAGTGAGGTTGGCCTGCTTAAGAAAGTTAGCCAACTCAATTTGTGAACTTTGGGAACTGTTTTGGGGTCCTTGTGAGTTCTAGAGCTCAAGATATGAGTTTTACAAAATGACTACAGATCTGATGGAAAACAGAATCGCAGCCACTCGTGATTCCTTTTTGGCTTATCCATCCTTCTCCCTTTGAAACACATTTTAAGATGTGTTCATCATCCCAATTTAGTCCCCATGATCATGGTGGTACTGAAAAGGGTTAGGTATCATTAGGATTTCATTTTTCCACAAGATTGTAATAATAATCAACATGAAAATGAACATAAAGCACATAAAATCACCATTCTCCCTTTTAGGGTTTCCATGATCTTTTGCAACATGTAATCCCCTAGATCCATCATCCACCATATATGGGGTGAAGATAGGATCTTGAGATGATGTATAACATACAATTCTTTGCAAATAACAAAAGAGATACAAATCAAATAAGAAGGAGAAGAAGTAAAGATGAAATCATAAAACTAGAACAAGGTTATGAATCAAGGTGTAAGAAATGATAAGGAGGTTCATACCAATATGAATCAAGGCTGGAAATGAACAAGAATTAAGCTCCAAACAACAGCCCCTTGGCTACTCTTGATCCCAAAGAGAGAGAGAAGGACGATGTGAGAGAGAGAGAGAGAGTAGGGTTTAGAGTGTTTTTCTTGTGTGTGTTCCAAATGACTCAATTAACACGTTAAGTACTATTTACTAGATGGATTTTGCAAATAGGCCCATAGCCCATGGACTTCAATAAAAGGAGTTTACAAGATGATCAAAAGAGTCCAATAACATAAGAAATCAGACCTTGGTTAAATAAATTAACCCAAGGTTACAAGAATAATTAAATTAAAATAACCAAACGTACCGAGAAAAACCGGGGCGTTACAACTCTCCCCCACTAAGAACGGACTTCGTCCTCGAAGTCAACGCCTAGAAACACATCTGGATAATGAGCCCGCATCTCGCATTCTGGTTCCCAAGTCCATTCCGAACCCTTCCTATGTTGCCATTGCACCTTAACCAGGTTTATAGTCTTGTTGTGGAGAGCTTTCGTTTTTCATTCTAAAATAGCGATTGGTTTCTCAACATAATTGAGATGCTCGTCAATCTGTATGTCCTCCAGTGGTATCACAACGGTCTCATCAATAACGCATTTTCGTAACTGAGACACGTGGAACGTATTATGAATTAGACTAGGCTCGTTAGGCAGCTCTAAACGGTAAGCCATCTTTCCCACACGGGCTATGACCTTGTGGGGGCCAATGAATCGGGGTCCGAGCTTTCCCCGCTTTCGAAATCGAATCACACCTTTACAGGGGGAGACTTTGAGCAACACATAATCTCCCACCTGGAACTCAAGATTGGAGCGTCTTTTGTCGGCATAACTTTTCTGACGACTCCTCGCTGTGACCAAATGATCCTGAATCACTTGGATTTTCTCCGTAGTCCGTAGCACGATATCGGTACTCCCAAGTACCCTCATCCCAACCTCGCCCCAACAAACGGGCGTCCTGCACTTCCTCCCGTACAAGGCTTCATATGGAGGCATTTTAATGCTCGAGTGATAGCTGTTGTTATAAGAAAACTCAGCTAGATGTAGATGGTCATCCCAACTACCCCCAAAATCAATCGCACATTCCCTAAGCATGTCCTCCAAGGTCTGAATTGTCCGCTCACTCTGCCCGTCTGTCTGCGGATGGAAGGCGGTGCTAAAATGTAATCGTGTGCCCAACTCCTCTTGAAACTTCCTCCAGAACCGAGAAGTATATCGGGTGTCCCGATCGGAGACGATAGAAATGGGTACCCCATGTAATGAGACAATCTCCCGAACAAAGATCTCGGCTAATTTCTCCGCCAAATGAGCTCTCCTTTATAGCCAGAAAGTGAGCACTCTTAGTCAAACGATCAACAATCACCCATATCGTATCGGCTCCTCGGGCAGTTCTAGGAAGTTTTGTAATGAAGTCCATGGTTAGATGCTCCCATTTCCATTCAGGAATCTCCAATGGTTGCAACTTCCCATGCGGTTTCTGGTGTTCCGCCTTGACCTTCCGACAGGTCATACATTCTTCCACAAATCGAGCCACATCATTCTTCATTCCATGCCACCAGTAAGCCTCCTAAAGGTCCCGGTACATTTTAGTAGCACCAGGATGGATAGAAAATTTTGACTTATGAGACTCATCCATTAGGGTTTTCCGATTTCCCCCAGTATATGGAACCCAAACCCTACCGTAGCGAGTCAGCAAACCCCGCCCGTCTCGTTCCATATTAGGCAACTCTTTCCAAATCTTCTCACGCCTGATGTTTTCCTCTAGTATTGCCGTCTTTTAGGCGTCCCGGATCAGATCTAACAAAGACGACACCATCGTGATCCGGAGACACTTAGCTCGAATCGGTTCGGCAGATTGTTTACGACTGAGAGCATCAGCTACCACATTAGCTTTACCGGGGTGGTAGTGAATTTCACAATCATAATCTTTTACCACATCCAACCATCTGATCTGCCTCATGTTCAAATCCCGCTGCTCGAACAAATATTTCAGACTCATATGGTCAGTGTATATGATAAACTTCACTCCATAGAGATAGTGTCTCCAAATCTTAAGAGCGAAAACAACAGCCCCAAGCTCCAAATCATGAGTGGGGTAGTTTCGTTCGTGGGGTTTCAGCTGTCGGGAGGCATAGGCTATCACCCTATCTCGTTGCATTAACACGGCACCAAGACCCTGAAGCGATGCATCACAGTAAACCACCATATCCTCAACCCCATCAGGTAAGGCCAAAATCGGAGCATCACACAATCGTTTCCTCAACTCATCAAACGCCAACTGCTGCTCCGGGCCCCAAACGAATTTCACTGATTTCTTGGTCAATCGGGTGAGTGGCAAGGCGATTTTAGAGAAATTTTCAATGAACCTTCGGTAATAACCGGCTAAACCCAAGAAACTGCGAATTTCAGAAGGTGTTTTTGGAATCTTCCATTGTTTAACCGCATCAACCTTGGCTTGATCGACCTTAATACCGTGTTTGTTTACCACATGCCCCAAGAACTGAACTTCTTCCAACCAAAATTCACATTTTGAGAATTTAGCATAAAGCCTTTCTCTTGCCAGAGTTTCCAGAATCTCCCAAAAGGTGTTGCTCATGCTCCTCTTTGCTCTTAGAATAGACCAAGATATCATCTATGAACACTATGACTGAACGGTCAAGCATCGGGCTACACACCCGGTTCATGAGATCCATAAACGTTGCGGGTGCATTGGTGAGCCCAAAAGGCATCACCACGAACTCAAAGTGCCCATAACGAGTACGGAATGCTGTTTTCTCAATGTCTTCTTCACGAACCCGCATCTGATGGTAACCGGAATGTAAATCAATCTTGGAAAACCAAGACGCTCCCTGAAGCT